AAAGAAAGCTGACATGAGCTAAAGAAAGCTGACATGAGCTAAAGAAAGCTGACATGAGCTAAAAGAACCAGAACTAAACGCAGCTGTCGAGCCTGTACATTATGGATCTGGTCAGCTGGTCTCTCAACGTAATTGATAAGATTTTCTCGACGAGGAGACGGGGTGCAGGAGAACCCTCATGGCCTGAAGGGACACACGCAGCTCATGTCATGGATTCCTGGGGTGAATGGAGGATGTGTCTGTCACATGGTCTGCTGAGGACGTAGAAGAAGCGTACATACTAGGCCCGTCGCGATAATCAATAAATCAATTAATCGCATGATAAATGAAAATGATCAACCTCATTTTCTTCGTGTCTCTTTCTTTCTACTGAAGACACTGGATGACAAAAGGCTCAACTCCAGTGCTCTTCAATGACCCCCCCCCCCCCCTTTAAAATCAGTTTTAATCGTCCAAAATCGTGTTTTTGGACAATTAAAAGCAGCTAAACTGAGAAGCTAAGCTACGAGCTAAGCTAACAGGCCGACCTCAAGGAAAAAGCCTCCGTCTTGTTGAAACTCGTGCCTTCGTGTAAAAAGTTGTTTTTCTGCAAAAAGAAGCCGAGAACTTGTTTACAGAGTTTTTATCAAAAGCTTTGTGTAAAAACTGCTAAAGAGCTCAAACCACACCGAGCGTGTGCCACTTTGAGAACTTAAAAGAAAAAAAGAAGAAGACCCCCCCCCCCCCCTCTTAAAGTGACACCGCCATCAGCCACAGGTTTGTTTGTTTGTGTGACTCTTGCTGGCCTCACCTCAGGCACCTCCACATCGTGGTCCGGGGACTCCCCTCCATCATCGCTGGTCTTCCTCTTCCTCTTGTTTCGGACGCTCTGGATGAAGTTCTTGTGGAAGTCACAGATGTACAGATGTCTCACCTTTAAGGACAAAAAGGGACGCAGTGAGACGACTCTCGAGCATCACAGGAAGGTCTGAGGATTAGGAGGACAGTTCTGAACGAACACAAACAACGTGAGATCATTTTTAAACACGATCTCCAAACTGTCGGATTCTTCTCTTAACCTCTTCGTGACGTCAGAGGCATCTTTGAGCCGACTTCACGCCGTGTCACAGGTCGCGTGACTCGCAGTAGTCCTGCCTGTAAACTACCTGATGGGTGTCCTGCCCCCCCACTGTCTGAGAACAGACCATGTGGACCAGGACTCAGTAAGCACCGGCACGATGAGGACGTCTTGCGTTAACAGCTGACTGACGTGGGCTGGAGACACCCGGAGGACACGCAGCCAGCGGGTGGTCTGAGGCAGTAATTTAACTAAAACATCTGCATCATCTGGGCCTCGAACTCTGTGAACTTTGTTTTTCTACGAGTACATTTGCTGTGAAACAGTCTAACAAAGGACGTGTAAATTATGATGTAAACCGTTACAATGTCTAAATGTGAGGCCGAGGTCTTGAGCTGAAAAAGGGCAGAGTCCTTTCTCCAGGGGAGGAGGTCCTGACCCAAGTGGAGGAGTTTGAATATCTCGGGTCTTGGTCACGAACGAGGGGAAAAAGGGAGCGAGAGATCGATAGGTGCAGCGTCTGCAGTGAAGCGGGCGTTGTACCGGTCTGTCTTGGTGAAGAGAGAGCGGAGTCAAATGGTAAATGGACTGTACTTATACAGCTCCTTTCTGTCTGATCAAGATCCTCAAAGCTCTTCACAACAATCTGGGCCTCATTGACCCATTCATACAGCTCTATACTAGATCTCTACAAAGATTAATCAGAGACTAATCACATTCAGACACTGATGGGACACATCGGAGGCAACGAGGGGTTCAGTGTCTTGCCCAGGGACCCTTCCACATGTGAGAGTGAATGGTTGTTTGTCTCTATGTGTCCCTGTGATGGACTGGAGACCCGTCCAGGGTGTCCCCCGCCCCTCGCACAGCGATTGCTGGACATGGGCACCGGCGACCCCCGTGACCCAAAATGGAATAAGCGTGTAAAAGATGATGGATGGTGATCGGCGGGGCACCCCTAGTTAGGATGCCTCCTGGACGCCTCCCTGGTCAGGTGTTCCGGACACGTCCCACCGGGAGGAGACCCAGGACACGCTGGAGGGACTACGTTTCTCGGCTGGCCTGGGAACGCCTCGGGATTCCCCCGGAGGAGCTGGACCAAGTGGCTGGGGAGAGGGAAGTCTGGCCCCCGCGACCCGACCCCGGATAAGCAAAAGAAAATGGACGGACAGTTACAATATTCACTAAAACAGTCAAATAACAATATGAACACGTCAACACAGACATTAGCAGAAAAGCTGTGGGTTAGCCAGATGTGATCCGACTGTTGTTTCTACAGAAAAACACGTGACTTCGTGGAGTTCGTCTCTTTCCTTAAAGCTGCTAAGACAACAACAGAGACGAGGACAAACTGTTTCGAGCAGGTAAAACGCCGCTCTTTCCTGCCAGTGGAGTCATTAAACACCCGACAACTTCCTTTAAGGTGTTTACAGCGAGACGTCATCGTGTCCTGAAGTTACAGCAAACATCGTGTTTGTGTCGTGACTCAACGATCGACCAGGACCTGTCCTCAGACGGCCTCCGAGTCCTTCAGCACCTAATTAGTCCATTGCAATGCGCACGGCTTCTTCTGTCAGTCTAGTTCTTCATGTTTCACAGCAGCGTGCACTTTAATTCCTGGTTTTGGTCTAAGAACGCAGCGGCACTGGTTTACTGACACACTCGCCTCTGGTCGGAGCATTTTTGAATCCCTTCACAGAACTATTCTGCAGTTTGCTCCTTTTCAGAGTTCCCAGGAGGTTTTCTGAACATGGTTCTCCTATTTTGCACCTGGTCACAAAATAATCCTCAAACCAAACTAGAAACGTCAGTTTTTGTCTCTCTGGGAGCGTTTCAAGCTCTGGTGACGTCTTCTGCACCCGGAGGGTTCCACCACGGTTCTTAAGCTGGAACTGCTCTACGTTGACCTACTTTATTTCGAAATGGTTGAGACTTCGACCTTGTAATGATGGTGTGCTTTTGTAAAGGCCTCCCTTGAAATATTTGCTCCTCTCAAAGGACTTGCCGATTAATTAAAACGAAATAAAAAAATAAACTAAAATATGTTTTTATATAAATGCTAACGATGCATAGCATGGCGTCAAAACATATTTAAATTCATTAGTTGACGTGTAAAAACTACAAAACAACTTTAAGGTCAGGACACAAAAGGCGAGGAGACGGATTTCTTCTAAACACCCACTGGAGTCAAGTTTCAGGCAGAAACGTCAACAAGTTGAAGTTCTGACCCCCCCGGAACAAACTGTCCACCAATCACAGGCTGACTGAGCAACTGGGCCAACTGGGGGGTGGAGAGGGGGGGAGGCGCGGGTCAACACGCTGCCTGTCAGTTCCACCGGAGCGCCAACCGACCGGGTCACCACATGCAGCTGAACACCAACACCCGCTCCCTGGCTGCTTTCAGAGCTGCAGCCGGAGCCGCCGCACGCGCTACACAACACAAACATCTTACGCTCTTGTCGATGTCCAGCTTGAGCTTCTTCTGGGAGATGCTCTTCTGGATCCTCTTGCTGAAGGAGGCGTTTCCAGCCGAGCGGCCGCAGCGCTCCCCGTCCTCGATCAGGCAGCAGCTCTGCCCGTAGAACGGCGGGGCCGGCGGCCCGTCGTGGCTGTCCTCCTCGGTGCTGAACCCATTCATCCTGCCCGCCCGGGACTGATCCGAGCCCAAACTGAGCCGGTTCCGAGGACACACCGAGCCTCCTGCTCACGCGCTGCCCTTTTCTTCCACCCGGCGCCGTTAGCAGCCGGACGGCTAACTCTGCTAACCTGCTGCTCCTGGAGCGAACAGCCCGTCGCGCTCTCTTTCTGATCCAACTAAAACCCGGGAGTCCGCGGGATGAGATCACCCATGCCGTCGCAAACACGCCACGACCGCCGGTTAGCTGCTAGCCGGGCGGAAGGTGGCCGAGCGGCCGCAGAACAAGACTGGATTCCTTCGGTGAGACCTCCGCGCTTCGTCCCGGTAACCTGCAGCTACTTCACCGCCAGCCACAGCAGCCTCAGTCGATCCCGCGTTAAAAGGCGACAGTCAACCGCTTCGTTCGACGAAAATAAAATAAAAAATTTCAGTTTGCGCAGAAACAGCCGCGGCACTCTTTCAGAAACGCTCCTCAAGGAACATGCTCAAAATGTGTGGCGGAAGTTCGCAATCCGGTCTGTGATTGGACAATTCCTGACAAAGGCGGGGCTTATCACATAAACTCTAAAGTTTTATTGGCTGAGGGAGGCGTCAATCTTCATGTCGCTTCCTGTATGTTTTCAACCACGAAAAAGGCGTTAAAGGTGGCGTTGTCAACAGTTAAAGGGTCTTTTTAACTGCGCAGTTCGTTTGATAAACGCAATCTCAGCTCTCACGCAGTTGGTCACGGAGCCACGTAAGGGCTATGACGGAACACGCATTGCTTTGTTCCCTCGCAGTAGTTTTGGTGGTCAGGCGGATCCAACGCGCTGCCTTCATTTTGTGGAATTTAAAATGGGGATTTTAGCGCAGGTTCTTCTGTTGATTGCGACAAACAAATCAATGACGTTCAAGCTGAAATAAGGCTTGGCAAGAGACAACCGTGGAGCCATAATCCTTGTTCCATACATTAATGCTCCTATCCAGAATTTCACACAGTCCGACTTCCATTTGTTGGACATTATGAGCACGTGTCCATCCATGGAGCGTTGTGCAGCCTTTCAGAGTCTGAGAGGTTTTATGGTCATTTCAGCTACGTGCACGTTGAAACGAAACAGCTTTCCTCCAGGATCACGGTGCAACACAACACAACGTGCAAAACAACACACAGTGCATGCAGTGTAAAAAACTTTTTTTTTTAACTTAACCTTTATTTAAACAGGTTTACAGTGCTGTGAGGCAACCCACAGATATTGTGAAGAAACACAAAACATTGCAAGGGAACGTGAATACAAAAGTTAATTTGAGAGAACTCAAAAACTATTCAGAGGCAGGGGCGATTCTAGAATATGCCCTTTAGGGGGCCCTCAGCCCCCAGTGTTGACAAGGCTCTTGGCTTGGACAGAGTGGCTATTGGCATCAGGAGCATTTGTGAAGTGTGGGCTTTTTGGGTCTTACCCCAGAAATCTGAGAATAAAGTAGGTGCCAATTCAATTTAGTTTAGTGCCAACAGAAGTCATCTCAGGGCACTGAACATTTAAACATTTAACATGAGTTTAACTCCATCACAGAACTCTCATCTTGAGCAAGCATGAAGGCGACAGTGGAAAGAAAAACTCCCTCACGAGGAAGAAACCTTTAGCAGAACCAGGATCAGGACAAGAGGACCATCTGCTTCAACCGGCTGGGTTTGGTAGGAACAGGAAGGAGGAACAGATACACAATGGCAGGCCAAGAATCACAGATAAAAATAGCATCATATGAAAACTATTCATTTGTAACAATTCATTTTAAGAACTGGATTAGAATAATAAAATAAGAATAAATAAAAATAAACTTTAAAATAAAAATAAATAATAAAATGAATAAGAACTTCCTGCATTCTGGTGTATTTTCACTGTGAAAGTTACTGTGAAAAAAATAATTGGAAAAAAAAAATCACTGTAATGCCACTTGGTTGTTGACATGTGCTGCTGACTATCCATGATGCTGATCTCATGCTGCTGATTATTTCATGTTGCTGTATTCATCCGTCCTCATCTACTCACAAAGACTCATGTTCATACTGTTCTTGTTTTGTTGCACTGTTTTGTACTATTAGTTATTAGTGTATTCTTAGTTTTGTGTATTTAGTGTATTCTTAGTTTTGTGTATTTAGTGTATTCTTAGTTTTGTGTATTTAGTGTATTCTTAGTTTAGTGTATTTAGTGTATTCTTAGT